GAGAGATAAAATAACAAAACAAACTTCTTTCTCTGTCTACCGGCCGTAAGACTTAAAGAGGAATACACTCGTAATAGGAGAGACTCGAGTCCCTTCCCGAATGGTTTTAGTCGATTTAATTCTGACATACTTACCACTGCACTAAAAGCCACAGCGAGATGCACATATTGGTACTTTATATTTTAACCAATTCTATAATCTAGTATTACAGTATCTATGTCGGAAAAATCTTTATACGATGCTACTACGCCTACCTAACTGCTCAGCAATTTCCTTTTTATACGAGCATCCATTATCTCGTAAAGATACAGTTTTAGACAGTCCACTTACGCATTTTAAGCTGTCACGCATCATCTAATTTCGTGAAGAAATAAGACGCCAGAATTATAGTAGGTATGTGAAAACGAAGTGTGTGTTTTTTAGCGAAGATAAATGATTATGACATAGGCCTCTCCCATTGGATTTTGGCGTTTGAAGTTTCGTTACATTCATCTTAACTGTGAACGTGACACTGGGTAGGTATTTAAAAATAAAATAAAATACAAAATGGTGGATACTGCTACTATTACTCAAAGGGCGATAACGCACTCTGTAACTCTCGAGTTTCAGATGTCAATTTCCATCCGGTAGTCTACCCCCCTATCACATCACATCGTCACATCAACAGTCTTTAATAGTCTGCTGGACATAGGCCTCACCTTAGAACCACCTTAGAGGTTTTGGCATACTATACCACGCTGGCCAGACAGGTTGGTGTAGGGTTTGTTGTCTGTCTGTTGCCTTACGACACCCATGGGATGAATAGGGGTGGTGACATTCGGTATTCTTGAAAAGTCACCAAAAGGATAGCCCTCTGTATCGTAAAAAAAATGTATCAGAGGTAACGCAATTTCAAAAAGGTTTTCTGAAAGTGGTTCCTTTTGTGACCTTTCGCCTGCATGATGCCAACCCTGCTTGGGAATTAAATAGTTTTCAGACAAGACAGAGGAAGGTGAGAATAACGGATTCCCTCGCTTTAGAGTAAAGGCTAACGCAAATCTCGGTTAGAAAACGGGACTTCATTATCAACTTCCCATATTCCAAAGAGACATTGCGAATGAATACTTGGCGTGATGAGTTACATGGTAGCTAAGAACTAAAAACATCATATATTACGAGTATACAAGACAACACTATTTATTTTAATCTGATTAATATATTCTGTAGCTAAATCATATAAATATGTAAGCGGATAAATAAATTATTAGGCCTCCAAAGACAGGATGTCAAAATAAACAGCGGGAAACGAAACGCAAATGACAGGTCGTTTACACAAACTTTTTAAAAAGGCGGGAAGAAAAATATCTAAGAAACTAAAATGCGTTATATCATTGTAGTTAATTTAAATATATAACTATTGAATTATATCTGTAGCTTTTAAAGTCACTATAATTTTTATTTTTCAATATATATTAAAAAAGTAGTAATAAATAAGTGGTTTTATACAAAAAAAAATCGGTTGTCTGTAAAGTCGGTTTACTGACGATAGTTGAACGTGACAACGTCATAAGAAAATACTGATGGAATGGTTGCATTTTTCAAAAATGTATCATTGTACTCGTATACGAGTAGCAGCTGTCCACGCGGACGCATCGCTCACTCAAGTAGGAGAGATAACAGACAAGAGACAGATGTCGAACGCTGCCGAACGCGGAGGCCGATTGTGCCTCTTTGTCATTCGTTCTGCGCTCTCGCTTGCACTTCACGCCTTAAATGGAACGCCTCAGAGCGAGGTAACGCCGCATGAGTCATGTTTTTTCGTGCGTGCAGCCGGCTCCATCGAATTATAAGACGTTGTCACGTCAAAAAAAGGAATTGGTATTTTAAACTGTTGCGTTTCATAATATGTTATGTAGGTCTCTACATAATATCATCATCATCATCATCATCAACAGCCTTTAATAGTCCACTGCTGGACATAAGCCTCTCCTGAGAAAGGAGGTTTACATAATATACACGGAAATTATTACCATTTTAATATTTCTAACTGGCTAAGTCAATCTGTGACCACCAGACAAAAGGTACCTATGTAGTAGGTAGCTGTCACATGACATATAATACTGACTGTACGGATGGCGTAGTGGTTTAAGCGGTCGCCACGTCGCTTCCTACTACGCCGAGTGTCGTGGGTTCAAACCCCACATGGAACGACACTTTGTGTAACCCACAAATTGTTGTTCTGAGTCTGGGTGTTCTTTGTGTCCGTTTCATGTATGTTTGTAAAGTCCTCCGCGACACAGGATATATTCATAATGCGGGCGTTGTCTTGAAAAATAAAACGGTATTTGAATAAATTAAAGAGCACTCATGTTTAAATCTTTTTTAAGGTGTTTTTGTCTCCTAAACATTATTTCATATTCCTCATAGACAGTAATTTTTCCGGATGAATGTTCTTTTCTGTTAGATTCTATAATTCAATAAGTTGTGGTCGGAATTTGACGATAAGGTGAACTCTAGTTAACGTAAATGTGTCAACGCTAGTTAGCGCACGTTGCGTTCAATAACGTTGTGTAAATTAATTTAGAAATATAGTGGTCTAAAATATCATAAAAATAAAATATATGCTCCTCAGTTTAGACCAAGTGAAATATTAGCTACGATTTTTGTAAAATTACGTATGCGAGATTGTCCTTTAATACAATATTTATTGACACATTTTCATTTATTAAAAAAATAAGTAAGGTAACCGCCTTGATGAAAATTATATAGGGTCTGCCGTTTGTGACCCTAGACACAAAAAGCGAAGGTTTAACGTGTGTCTGTACTCTGTATGTCTGTGTGTTGAACTCCCCCCTCTAGTTTTGTTTCAATGATAAATTCTTAGCTATTATTTAAAACAATCCGTTTCAGATATCATCAGCTCTATTTGTAATTGGTTACTGAGATTTTATAATAGAGGTATTTCTTCATTTTTTAACGTATTCAAAAGGTCGTTTATTAGCGAAATTTTATGCAAAAATATTTTAGATAGATTTTATCATAAAATATCAGTTCAGAAACAAATGTCATCCAGTTTATACCCCTCGAAAACCCTAGGTATAATAATAGCGCGTTGCTATAAGGCGCATAAGTACTTACCTGGAATACAAATTTACATTATGTGTTCTAGTCTTGTATTGCTACTGCCTTCAGTGCCGTCTGCCGTGCGTGTGTGGGAACGTCCTCAAAGAACAAAGCTACATTGTATGGATTTTTATTAAGACGTTAAACAAGATAGCAAAAGAAACACGATAACGCCTTTTGTTTTTTTTTTCACTTTCACATTAGTAGTACATATATATCTATATAATCTTTAAATTCCACGCAAAGAAAATTTTTGTACCCGTTTTAAATACAAATGGCCCAAGGACAAGTCGGGAAGCGTTTGTAGTACCTAAGTAAATTTCAAAGAAAAACTGTTGTAAACCGCAGCCGCCTTATTAAAATACAATAAAAAATTACCAAAAAATGTGATCGGTGTACTAAATTTAATGATTTAACTCAAACCCAAATATCTTTATTTCATATTTTTTTAATATTATTTGAATCGTGTAGACTCTAAAGTCATAGATCAATACACGCAATAGCAACAATCACTGTTTTGTCAAATATTAAGCAAATTAAATATAAACGTATCGAAAATCTCTTATATGCCTATGCTGAAATTTGGCAAAAAATATTATTTAAAATAAATTAAAGAATTTAGAATGTAAAGATTGGTAACGCAATGGACCATGGTACATAGTCTGTACAATCAAATGATCAGATCAAGTTATACAAACTTACTGGTCAACGAATTAAAACGAACCTTCAAAACAGCCGACATTCGACCGCCATTCTTAGTATTAAATCATATTACTATGATATAATTTTCATCAACATAATTCTTGAATATTTTTCAACAACAACAATATTTTTTTATCATATTTTAACACAATTCTATTTTTGAAACCCAACAAAATTCTCTGACGCAGGTATAATAAATGGCTACAGGCTAATAAATTAGTCCATAAGCATTTACACTTCAAAGAAATTTTATTTTAAAATATTGGCGGCAAAATTCTTAAGTTTTTTTTTTATAGCTGAAGGTAAGATTAATCATCCATGGGCCTTTTTTTGTCTACTTTAAATTCTAACTAAACTAACCGTGAATTTGTGAAATAAAAATATGTTTTCATGTTAAATTTGTGTCAAGAAACTTTTTTCTTTACAATAATGATGACTGTTGTTTTTAAATTTTTCACTACGAATCAGTGAAAATAATTTACCATTACAATCGTCTATTGTCAGGATTTGTGAAATTGAAGAGGCTTATGTCCAGCTGTGAACTGCGATAGGCTAATGTTGATTATGGTCAGAATATTTCCGATTGGCTTGATCCCTTGGCGTTGCGTAGAGATGTCACTTCTGAGTGAAGTAACATTCTCAGTATCATGGAGGAATTGTTTGGACTAATACAAGCTTTCCGCCATCTTTCCACGAAGCAAAACATCCATCCCTATCATTTGAATAATGGCACTCAATCACTGTGCGATTTTAAGGAATATTCTGTGAAACAAGTTGTCAGATACGGTATTTAGGGACCGATACCACCTCCAAACCTTCAAGAAAAGAGCTTACTCTCACCTCAAAGGCCGCCAAAGCGGTTTTTGGGACCCGTCTGCGCGTTTGAAATACCCCTATAGTACATATTTTGTACCACCAATGGAGGTCAAAGTATCTATTTATTACATGATTATAGGATTTTTTAAGAATTTCAATACAGTTTCTAAACCATTACTGCAAATCTTATCTCAGATTCGGGCACAAACCTCTATGTAAGGGGTCATAATATTGTAATCATCACATCAACAGCCTTTAAAAGTTTACTGCTAGACATAGGCCTTTCTTTAGAAAAGAGGTTTCAGCCTACTATGTTGTAATACTTAAGTAATTACGTATGTACATGACAATTCTTGTAAACTTAATCTTTTTTTTCACAGATGCATGAGTGGCGGGAAGATAAACTTCAGGGAGAAAGAAAAGCAGATCCTCGATCAGATCCTGGGTCCGGGTCGGTACGACGCCAGGATCCGACCTTCTGGAATCAACGGCACTGGTAAGATATCCTTCTAATTATATAGTTTTCTTTTTGTTATTTCAAATTCTTTGGATGGCTGAAGCGATGCTGTGTCAGGGGTATTGAATTTTTTTTTTTTTAATTTGGAAACTATGTGAATTATTCTCTCGGGACTAGGAAACTACCAGAAAATAAAAGGAAGGATATGTTAACTTACATAAAATAATCTTATCAAATATTCTAGTCTAGAAAACCCTTGTTGTTTTCAGACATAAAACATTGAGTTTAGCTAACATTTAACGGTGAAAATACGTTCAAAATCGTCCCTGAATATTAATTTCGTTAATAGCAGCTATTATGCTGCTGCAAATCCTTTTAAACCTGTGCCGAAGTAGGTACTAAATATGGTTAAGTTGAGCAGTTCGCAAAAAAGGCTGCGTTGAGGCCCATTCATTTTAATAAGAATCTGTAATTATATCCTTACGTCATTTCAAGAGTTTTCAATGCTCCTCAAGTTCGTTCAGGATAAGTTCCTGCTGCTGATTGAACCACAAAAAAAAAGGTTTTAAGTTAGTAAAAAATCATCAAATTACAAATAAAATTTCTTTATCGGTCCTTAAGTTATAATAATTTATGACCCATCTGAGATAGGTTTATAGAAATAAATAATTCTTTTCATTTGTCTCTTCTGAATTTTGACTTATTAAATCACATTTTTTTAGGAAAATCTGTATGTTTATAATAGTCTGTATATTATCTAATTCCCGCGTAAAATATAAATATTTAATCTATGACTGCTCTAATTACCATCGACAAGCAAATTTCTATAATTACAGTTTTTATTATTCTACTTTTAAAATTCTTAACAAACAATAAATGCTACAAGCTATAAAGGGTTTCGCTGTTACGTTAATTACTATCTATGAATGTCTTTGAAAACAATAAAAAAATACGCTTTTCGTGAATAAAAGTCATAATTTAACTGTCACAATCATTACATTAATTATAGACATTAAAGAAAAACTTCGTAAAATCGAATTTCATGATGTCTCATTTCGCTTCAGTTACGTGATATATAAACTTCTCACTCTAACGTTTAATCACGACGACGTATAGTTCTTACTCTAAGCGACCACGATATTTTTAAATGTAGAACACCACAGTACAATTTAAAAAACCATTAGATAGCATTACAATATATTTTTAAAACTATTATCGTTTAGTTGTTTTATTTTTAAATTAAACCATTGTCAAAGAAAAAATGTCACAAAGTCATTAAGATATTACAACAGCTATTTATCATTGCCGAGTTGTATGCCAAGTTTTGAACTGCTATTAGCAAGTTAATGGACTAATTAATGAACGAGGTAGGTAAACTACGCTGACCGTGAAACTTCTAAAGCATAGAGGTTCAGAAAGTACCAAAAGCGGATATTTTTTTTGTATTTTACACTGTATCTATTAATCAGGGTTTAACAGTGGTGAGTTTTTTTTTTGAAATTTACTAAAATCGAAATAAAACTTTATTACATTTATACCTTTACGATAGAACTCTCGGGATCTAGATTCGACAAACTATGTTAAAGCATTTTGTACTGCCTCCAGGGTTTTTTTTTACACTTGTTAGATTTGATACTAATATCAGCCCCAACGCTTGTTTATAACCACGGTTAACTTGAAGCACCGGCAATTCTCCAATCATGACCTTATCTTTCTCCTATGTCCTTAAACCACCTAAATCCAACCAAAAAGTTTGCACATGCGTTGTTTTGCTCGTATTGAGGTCGACAAACTGCATAGGGATGCCTCCAATCTGAATTGGGACGTAGTGACGTCGGTTACTAGAGTGGACGAAAAACTTAATCCCGCAATTCTCGCTCTGTATGATGTGCGTACATATAAAAAAAACTAACATACTCCCCGGATGACAAATGAGGTGCTGTTAGCTATGCGACGAAGAGATAGGGCCTTTTGTAAATTCAGAAGAAATCGTACCGAGGAAAAGCGCTCCTTATAAACGGGACTAATCCCACCCACACGCCCACCACTGTAACTCGTGGACACCAGGATCTACAGCAGTGACCCACGAACGCACCGAATTATGACACTCGGGAAGTCCCAGGTAGAGATTAAACTGTCTTGGAACCCGCAACGAAATTAATCAGAAGAAATTGGAGGAGTTGGAAATACAGTAAATCCACTTCCCTCCTTAGCAAAAAGCGCTCCTTGTACAAAATCGCGAGAAATCGGTGCAATCAGATGATACGTAACGTTAAACACCGACACATTTTTGATAACATCTCCCGTTCATCCCCCGTCTATGTCTGGAAGTTTCTCGGAACTCTAGGTATCGGTAAGCAGCGATCGGGTCGTTTGCAGGGGATAGTTGGTTTGGATGAAAAACCCGTAATTTCTCTTCCTCTGTTCATTTGGATCCCCAGACCAAGTATCGTACTGTTGACTACCTGGTCTTAATAGCACTAACATAAATCCCTTCCAATTTTCTCCGGTTTCGTCGAGTGAGTTCAAGAAGATAATACCCTCTCCTCTCCATTAATTACGAAAGCGTTTAAATATACATAAATGACTCGGCTTTTTGAAGTATCCATCTTTAAAAAAAAAACAGTTGCAAGTCGAAAATCGAATGTTTCACATTTTTTAAAAGAAAAACCTCATAGGTATCACGTGAAAAAAGATTCATACGAAAATCTCACACCGTGAAGGTTGTATGTCAATTCAAAGTATCTATGACTATACAACGGCAATTTCATACTTTAACCCCTATTATATAAAAAACCGAATATGTTATTTAAACACCCATTCCAGTTTTAAATACCATCGAATGTAAAATAAACTTGTGTAATATATCAAATTATGTTTCTATTTTTTTACTTTTGTCGGCATAAATATCCCACAACTTGCTTAATTATAACAAAACTCTTTTGGGAGCGGTTGCTTCCATTAGTGGACGACAAATTACTTGTTTATTGCATGAAATTAGTACTTTGGAAAACATTCCAGACACCATTTGCGTATTTAAACTTAAATACTCACATTATGTACCCACATATTTACATTGAAAATAGTTTTTCAGTTTTTGGCACCAGTGTGTGTGTACTGTACTGTGCGTTGTAATACTTGAAATGATTTTAATGATGCATAGAAAATGATGGATTGATGATAACAAACATTAAATTAATGATTGTTTGACAAATTTTACATATTACCTCCAAATATTTATATTTAATAAATGTTTATAAAATAAATGACTACAATTTTGGAACTATTTGTAAAAAAAAACAAACAAAACAACTATTTTATTGCTAGAACACAGGCATTATCGCTTCAGCCACCATATATTTTTTTAAGGATAATTTGTTTTTCAGCAATCAGCCATTGTGTAAGTGAATAACGTTATTTGCATTTGAAGAATGCAAACCAATACAACTTTAGTGTTTATTTTTTTTAATTTGTTTATTGCAAACATTTAAATTTCTGAACGACGTGGCTATTACCATAGACAAGTAGGTCTTCTGCATAAAACTTCATTTGTGTTATGGAGGGTGGAGGTAAGGAGAACCTTTTTTGTGTATGATAAAGTATCTGTCAAAAAGCGTCAAATTATGGTTGCGCCACGGTAGCCGGTTCGTTAATTTTAAGGAAAAGTTAAAAGTTTCTAGAGTTGAATTATAAATGAAAAAATTAAAGAAAATATTCACATTTGGTAAGGCGCACTTTTCAAAAATGATTATAACATCATCTATATATTAATAGTTAAGTAATTTCACTCAGCAAACTTGCATTACTAGCGCCATTGTGATCGGTTTTAGAACTATAATTTGCTGCTTTTTGGCTTGATACTTTTTTGGTTTGCCGCCCATACAAGATAGTGATCCTTACCCCTGCTCTCCCTAATCTGTGTGTTTAAACGTGAATTTTATATCTCGGTTTGATAAAAATTTTCTCTTCTCCGGCATTCAGCCTTAAAAAGTTTTTTTTTTGTTTTTTTTTTAACAATGTCAAAACTATGCAATGGAATCAGGTTCTTCTGCCAAATGGCTAAAATATAGAGTAATAAATATTTTTGTCGTCAACAGATTCTTTATTTTTAATACCATAAGCACTGAAATTTACGAGAATTTTCATGTATAATTGAATAGTCTTCGAATATCTTAGTATTTTAAAACGTAACCTATAACTAATATAAACTTTGCAATACTCAAAACGTGTAAATATTTATGCTGTATCTTTTGAGCTAGTGTTGTTTCTCTCTGTAAATAGGTCATTTATTTTCAGTTTTCTATTTATTTATCATAAACTAGCTGAGACCCGCGGTGTTACCCGCGTTTGTTGTTATAAACGCAGGCAACGCCGCGGGGTGAAGCTAGTCTAAAAAAAGTAGCCTAAGTTACTCCTTATGTCATCAGCTATCTGCCAGTGAAAGTCCCGTCGAAATCGGTCTAGCCGTTCCAGAGATTACCTGGAACAAACAGACAGACAGACAGACAAAAATTGTAAAAAATGTTATTTTGGCATATGTACCGTGTAAACATACATATGCATTTAGTAAAAAGCGGTTATTTTAATATTACAAACAGACACTCCAATTTTATTTATTTGTATAGATTTTCAGGTAAATTTACGTAGGAGTTGAAGATATGTATAAACACTTTTGTTCAACTATAGGTACATTACGGCGTTTAAAAACTAAATTTAAGTAAATTAATTAATTAGGGTTTAGGTTTTCAAGCTTGTCACAACCAGAATATAAATGTAAAAAAAAGGATTAAATATTATTTATATAGAATCTAAATTTGAAAATATCTATTTTTAATTGTCATATGGCCTTAAGGCCGCCATTTTATTTCAACCGTTGGAGATCCGCTAAGGCTTAAGGGCCGGCTCGACCGGAGTGATACCACGGCCTCATTTAAAATCTGTCTTAAACAATTCATTGCATTCAAACATGGAACTTATTGTTGCTTTTAAATCATATTTATTTCATGAAATGATTGGTTTTAGTAACAGCGAACATTGTG